CAGTCAGCACTGGCAGAGCATCTCCATGGTAACAAAGTCTCCTCACGGTTGGCTGGTAATTCTTGGCTGTTGACTCAGTGTAATAAAAAGAGCCATGCGCATCGCATCGTGGATGTTAAGGAATTCTTTTGTTCTCCAATGTAAACCATTCCGATCCACTGCATCGAGCACAGAGCGACGTGTTGTGGTGACATCATAATAGCACTAACACATATTTACATATTAAAGTCACATGCAGATCTACAACATGTGACATGACGCAATGCTCCATGTTTAGTTGCTTCATGGCGCTGATCCACCTGATGATCTCGGCTTCAGTTTATGAAAGCACTCAGCAAGTGGTCTTCTGCTAGAGAGTCCAGTCAACTAACTAACACACACACTAAAAAAAGAGAGAGCTGAGGAGAGAGAGTCTGCAACTGGCAGGATTGGCTTCCACGAGGTGCACAAAACCATTAGGAATTAAGAGAACAAGTGAAAAACAGGGCCTGGGACTCGAGAAGGCTAACAGTCAAAAAGTAGATTTGCCTAAAATGACGTGTGACCTTGAGGACACAATAAAATAGACATCTGCTTATGTACATACGTCGTGTTTCATGTGCATCTATTTTTACTAGGTCTAAATCTCAAGAAAAGAAAAAAAAAAAAAAAGAGGTCTAAACATAGATCATAGATTTTCAGGGTTTGACTTTGGTTATATGATAATTCAAGGCTAGATTTAAAAAAATAGATAGTACACTTCCATAGAACTTTGCCAAACATAGATCATAGATTTTCAGGGTTTGACTTTGGTTATATGATATTCAAGGCTAGATTTAAAAAAATAGATAGTACACTTCCATAGAACTTTGCATACAGATTACTTGAATGTATTTCCTTGAAAACGAAGCAGCTGGTTCATTCTAGAAATTGTTTATGTTTATATTCTATAAGATCAGACTACGTTTATCCTAAAATTCTGACACGTTGTCTATTCGGAGTACTTCCGACAGGAAAAAACAGATGGACAGACAGAAAGAGAGAGACAGAGAAAGAGAAGACAACTGTGTGCATAAGTCTGCATGCTTGGTTGCATGTCAGATAGGCAAGGAAGGAAAGCAAAAGACAAAGAATGAGAAAGGAGTAAGAGATGAAAAGAGAGAGAGACAGGGAGGATTGTGGGACAGTCATTTCACAGAGAGTATCATCTCTTTATGTTGCTGTGTCTCCCAACAGAGAGAGGGAGAGAGAGTGTTAGTTACCTGGGAATATGACTTGCAGATCTGTTTATATGTGGCTTTATTGTCATGCTGTCTGTGTGGCACTGTAATTTGCAGTCTTCTGTTTGAGGGCACTATTTATAGAGGGTACTGCAAAAGGGGCGAATTGAACTGCAATACCAAAATTCCCAGTTCACAACAGCAGAGTAGTGTTATTCCTATTGTGATGAACTGATCACTAATATTTATAAACCAAACTCTGTTGTGGGTTATTATCACTGATATTTAAAGTGGATGCAGACAGAGAAAAGCAGACTCCGCTCACCATCTGAGCGCTGGGCATCAGTCCAGTAATGCACCAACTCAAATGAATAACCAGCTGTCTACCAAACCTGATGGCACCCACAATTCAACTTTCATCATTTATCTACACCTTAGAGACCATCAAGGCCACCAAACGTATAGGTCTATTATTCAAATGACAATTACTGATGTTTTACTCCTCTGGGGTGTTAAAGGGACTGTTTACATATTGTTTACATAAAAATGAAAGTTCTATTATGTTGCTTCAAACCTAAATTACTTTCTTTCTTCTGTGAAGCAGTTGAAATAATTTCAATCAGATTTCAGAATCTAAAAGTTCTGTTTATATGAACAAAATGTCACAATCCGATTCACATATTGAAAAAAGTGGACACACAGTCATGGACAAAAATATTGGCACCCCTGAATTTCTGTCAGATAATGCACAACTTCTCCTAGAAGATTGTTGCAATTACAAATGCTTTGGTATTGATGTTTATTTCATTTATTTGTATTGGAACAACACAAAAAAAGCAGAGAAAAAAGCCAAATCTGAGACATTCTACACAGAACTCCAAAAAATGGACAGGACAGAATTATTGACACCCTCAACTTAATATTTGGTAGCACACCCTTTGGAAAAAATAACTAAAATCATTTGCTTCCTGTAACCATCAATGAGTTTCTTACAGCTCTCTACTGGAATTTTGGACCACTCTTCTCTTGCCAACAGCTCAAGGTCTTTCAGATCTGAAGGGTTTCTTCTCCCAACTGCTGTTTTGAGTTCTCTCCACAGGTGCTCTATGGGATTTAGATCTGAACTCATTGCTGACTACTTCAGAACTCTCCAGTGTTTGTCTTAAACCATTTTTGGGTGCTTTGGGTCATTGTCCTGCTGTATCTGTCCACGCGACATTCTCCCAGAAGGATTTTGGCTTCCTCAGGTACACTTTGGCAAACACCAATCTGGCTTTTTTTATGTTTCTGTGTCAGCAGCAGGGTCCTTCTGGGTCTTCTATCATAGCGTCCCTTTTCATTCAGATGGTGACGGATAGTGTGAGCTGTCACTGTTGTACCCTGTGCCTGCAGGTCAGCTTGAATTTGTTTGGAAGTTGACCAAGGTTTTTTATCCACTCTTTGAACAATCCTTCGTTGCAATCTTTCATCAATTTTTCTCTTTCGTCCACGTCAAGGGATATTAGCTACAGTGCCATGGGCTGTAAACTTATTGACAATGTTGCGCACAGTGGACACAGAAACATTAAGATGACTGGAGATGAACTTGTAGCCTTGAGACTGTCCATGCTTTTCCACAATTTTGGTTCTCAAATCCTCAGACAATTCTTTACTCTAAAGTACACATAGACACCCAACACAAAGACTGAATCAACTTTTCCCCGTTTTAACTGGTTGCAAGTGTGATTTCTATATTGCCAGCTCCTGTGAATTGTTACAGGTGAGTTTAATTGCAAATTAAAGGAGCATCACATGCTTGAAATACAATTATTTCAGAAGATTCTGAAAAGGTCCCAATAATTTTGTCCAGTCCATTTTTTGGAGTTCTATGTAGAATGTCTCAGATTTGACTTTTTTCTCTGCTTTTTTGTGTTGTTCCAATGCAAACAAAAGAAATAAACATGAGAATACCAAAGCATTTGTAATTGCAGCAATTTTCTGGGAGAAATGCAGGGGTGCCAATATTTTTGTCCATGACTTTATATGTCAGACAAACTTTTTACCAAATACTTAGTATATATTTAGTCTCCTCCACTGACCAATAAGACATTACATTTAAACATATGCACGATCACAAGATAAACATATGCTCCATGACACTACATATGTTCGTAAGAGTTCGATTGAGATAATAGCCAGATTTAATCATTTATGAGCTTAATTTTTTCCTGTTCATTTAATTATTTCAGTTCTACACCATCTCTTATAATCTGAGTGAAATTTCATTTCAGATTAAAAATTTATTATTTGGGTCAATGCAAACGTATTGACTTGCATTGAATGGACAAAAAAAAAAAACACTAATATATTTTTCAGAAAAAGGAAAGTCATATGGGTTTGGAATAACATAATGAGGGTGAATAAACGATCACCATATTTTCTGAAATTTGGGGTGAACTATCCCTTAAAAAACATTGAGGGTTTCGATGGCAGACACAGCTCTTCTAATCTAAAAGCGGATTGGTCTTGATTGTTGAAGATTTGAGTAAAAGCAATGAGTCTGGTGCTGAAGGGAATGTGATTTGACCCTGCATTCATACTGTAAATGTGTGACCCGTTCAGACTGACATCATTGAGCACTGCCGCTGAATTTCTCCATTCCAGCTGGCAGTCTTTTGGTTTAGGAAATGAAAAGAGATCAAACTAGATGGAAGAGGCTGCCACAGACAGACAGTAGACTTTCCCTTCACTTATACTGAACAGCTTTCACCAGGCCTACCACAAAAAATTTAAAAAAAATAAATAAAACAATAAACAAAAACAAAAAAAACAAATGGCAATATTACACCCAAACAAATATTTCTGTATTATAAGAAAATATTCACATCTGATCTTGCAAGACACTGATTCACTCATAAAGAGAAAAATGAAAACTTGTCAAGCTTTTTTAAGAAGTCTCCTGCTGCAGGTTCGTTTACATCAGGGGTGCCCAAACTCGGTCCTGGAGGGCCGGTGTCCTGCAGAGTTTAGCTCCAACTTGCCTCAACACACCTGACGGGAAGTTTCTAGCATGCCTAGTAAGAGCTTGATTAGCTTGTTCAGGTGTGTCTAATTGGGGTTGGAGCTAAACTCTGCAGGACACCGGCCCTCCAGGACCGAGTTTGGGCACCCCTGGTTTACATAAATATGTAGTGTACTGTGTCTTTAAGGCATTATTGGGGTGGGTCTTAAACAGTTTGACACCTGGCTTGATGGACTTCCTGTCTTACTGCTCGTCAGAGAGGCTGCAGTGTCCGCTCTCTATCTGATGTCCAGCAGTGGCTTCAGTGACGCCTGCATTGACGGGTCCGTCCCAGAGGCTGCCACAGACAGACAGTAGACTTTCCCTTCACTTATACTGAACAGCTTTCACCAGGCCTACCACAAAAAATTTAAAAAAAATAAATAAAACAATAAACAAAAACAAAAAAAACAAATGGCAATATTACACCCAAACAAATATTTCTGTATTATAAGAAAATATTCACATCTGATCTTGCAAGACACTGATTCACTCATAAAGAGGAAAATGAAAACTTGTCAAGCTTTTTTAAGAAGTCTCCTGCTGCAGGTTCGTTTACATCAGGGGTGCCCAAACTCGGTCCTGGAGGGCCGGTGTCCTGCAGAGTTTAGCTCCAACCCCAATTAGACACACCTGAACAAGCTAATCAAGCTCTTACTAGGCATGCTAGAAACTTCCCGTCAGGTGTGTTGAGGCAAGTTGGAGCTAAACTCTGCAGGACACCGGCCCTCCAGGACCGAGTTTGGGCACCCCTGGTTTACATAAATATGTAGTGTACTGTGTCTTTAAGGCATTATTGGGGTGGGTCTTAAACAGTTTGACACCTGGCTTGATGGACTTCCTGTCTTACTGCTCGTCAGAGAGGCTGCAGTGTCCGCTCTCTATCTGATGTCCAGCAGTGGCTTCAGTGACGCCTGCATTGACGGGTCCGTCCCGTCAACTTGCTGTTCGTTGACGGGCAGTCATGGCCGTTCCCCTCTGTAGGAGTCCAATGGCTGACGGAAAAGTCTCTCATAGGCAAGACTCACAAGGCTGCAACAGAAAGGAAACAACAAAAAATATTGATTACTCATGCAGCTTTTATCATTTAAATTGTCTATCATCAGATTTTAGTCAATTTCATTCACCTGGCTTAGTAGCAAATTAAAGTAAGAGTTTCCTCAGTCATGTCATTACAGTGTCAGTATTTACAGTGACAAAGAAGTGCAGTGTCAAGTGACACACAGAAGATTGTCCTGTCTGGAACATTAACCCAGACAACCTTCACCTGTAAAGAGCATACTTTACCATTACTAAACAACGACTACAAGCTAATGAGATTAGGGGTGAATTCATTCAAAAGTGCCCTACTCACGCCGAAGGACAGAGCTCTTGAAGTGAGTGCTCCGAAGAGTGCAGACTGAGTATTATTGTCTCATATGTTGCATTATGGTTGATTGGGGTTTTGTAAGATATCATGGTAAACCATGATATATATTTTTTTCAGAATCTTTGATGAATAGAAAGTTCAAAAGAACAGAACAGCATTTATTTAAACTAGAAATCTTTTGTAACAATTGTAAAAGTCAATTTTTATCAGTGCATCCTTGTTGAGGTTTTTATTTCTTTCAAAAAAACCATGTTGACCCCAAACTTTTGAACGGTAGTGTACATTACTGCCATTTTTTTATTTTGAACCAGAATGTAATCTTCATAATATCACAATAAAGTTCATACAGCTGTTAGGACTGTTGTAAAAAACAAAAAAGAAAAGTTTGGTGTAAAATATATACTGTATGCATCTTTAATTGGAATATCTTTTCATTTGGCATGACATTTGGCATTTCAACAACAAAAAGTATGCAAATATGTACAGGATTATTAATAAATAGGTTAAATTGTCAGGTAATTTCTTAAATAAATGACCTCAGTGTTCACAAAAGGGATGTGCGCTACGACTAATTTCATAGTCATTTAAACGGAAAGACTAGTCTACTATGGAGCCAGATCAGCCTCAAAAATAACACATTTGCAAAACAAAATTCATAAATGCACAGCACAATTTACATTTACAAAATCCGATTCGTAAATTCAAAACACAATTCATAAATACACAAGTAAAAGCATAAATATTTCCCCAAATGCTCACACAAATGCATCTTACCTAAATAAATTTAAAATGTTTACACAAATATGTATATATAAATTTCTTGAATTAATTTCCATCACACATTTATGAATGATGTTACATGTATTTATGGATCGTTGAATCTGCATTTGCAAATCGTCACACATGCGTGGACTGCTTTGAATTTGTGTGAGGTATTTTTGAGACCTTCCTGGCAGGTTAAGAATCATAAATATATTTTTTTTGGAGGATGTTCCGTTCAGCCAATCACGGTGAGCTTTTAATCCACCAATCAAAACACTCTTTACTGAACAGACTCAAGAAGCTCATTTTGAGAGGCTGTTTACTGCAGAGCAAATGGGTGGAGCTTATGTCTAGCTCGCAAGACGTCCAGGGAGGAGGAACTGGAAGTCATTTGACTCTGCAGTGAGTACCACTTGTAAAATTTACAACACTGATGGTAACAAAAGAAGCAGACAGGCTGAATGAAAATGCAAATTCACTTTCTAACATTAGGTGGCGCTTTAGGACATGCAGAAATATACAGATGTTACCATGGTTGCCCTGTAAACAAAGCAGCTGGCTTTTAGGCATTATACTAGGGTGACTATATGTGCCCTTTTTCCCGGACACGTCCTGGCCAGGATTTCTATATTGCCTAAAATATCCAGGTTTTGGCTTTGTTTGCGCTGGGGAAATATTTATGCTTTTACTTGTGTATTTATGAATTGTGTTTTGAATTTACGAATCGGATTTTGTAAATGTAAATTGTGCTGTGCATTTATGAATTTTGTTTTGCAAATGTGTTATTTTTGAGGCTGATCTGTCTCCATAGTCTACTAGTCTAAAAGTAGGAAACCCTCAGAAGACAGTCAAACATTGTGTGCGATCCATTTGAAATACTTAAACTATGAATAAAACGGACAAATATTTCCAGATACCTTATTATCTGAATCGTTCTTGCTTTCCGTCAAACGGTTAAATTTTGAGAGGCTGTTTACTGCAGAGCAAATGGGTGGAGCTTATGTCTAGCTCGCAAGACGTCCAGGGAGGAGGAACTGGAAGTCATTTGACTCTGCAGTGAGTACCACTTGTAAAATTTACAACACTGATGGTAACAAAAGAAGCAGACAGGCTGAATGAAAATGCAAATTCACTTTCTAACATTAGGTGGCGCTTTAGGACATGCAGAAATATACAGATGTTACCATGGTTGCCCTGTAAACAAAGCAGCTGGCTTTTAGGCATTATACTAGGGTGACTATATGTGCCCTTTTTCCCGGACACGTCCTGGCCAGGATTTCTATATTGCCTAAAATATCCAGGTTTTGGCTTTGTTTGCGCTGCGTAGACCGATCGGTGTTATGACATCGAAGTACCTTGAGAGCTATCCACTTATTCTTCCTGTAAGAGTGGACGTGGCCATTTGTAATTTTTATGGGTCTGGCTTCCAGTCTCATCCGTGTCCAGCTATTTTTAGCTGTACAAAACAGCTCGTTTTACTGCTTGATATTGCAAATTGGTATGTCTTACCTTATTATTTTAATGTATTATCTCAATTATGAACACACTGGTTTGTAGTGCAAACTGTTTTACTGTTTACTGCACATTGTCGTACAGCGGCTAATGAACCGGAAGTCTCGCCCATAGGCTTACTTCCGTGTTGAAGAATAAGGTGGATAGAGAGTAGACGGCTCTTTATGCTTTCTGATTGGTCTGCGCAGCGCTGCTTCAAGTCGAACACACCTAATATGTATGCGTATCTGCAACGCTTTGACCATTCTCTATAGATCCCACCTTCTCACGTGACACGATTGGTCAATTATGTATAATGTCTGCATGTTATTGGTCAAACTACTTTTCGATCATTACCTTTAGCAAGTATGAAAACAGGAAAACCTGGATATTTTAGGCAATATAGAAATTCTGGCCAGGACGTGTCCGGGAAAAACGCATGCATGCAAGGTCTGAAGTGAAATTAAATTAATTTGTTTTCCTCTTTATTATTTTTTAAAACTTAACATTAAAATGACTAAATTTTGATTCATATTTCCAATGTCTAGCAGCAGCAGTTCCATTTAATCGGCTAGTCAACTAGTTTTGCACATCCGTAGTTCACAATTACTCAGGAGGCTGCACTACTCAGGATCACATGATCATAAATGGTAAAATTACTTCTTCCATCACATGTACCCATCCCTGTCGTTAGCTCTTCGCCTTAAGCCAGAAGTTCTCACTTCAGGGTTTTAAGCCCGATTTGCAAGTCAACGAGCTCGCCGACAAGTCAGGCTGTGATCGGGGGAAAATCAGCGGGTGATCTTTATGTGTGAACTACTCAACGACGCATGAAAGAGGCTCGCTGACGCATCGCCGATGCCAAACAAATATCTAGCATGCTAAATATATAGACCTGTCAGCCGACTCGACATCACGTGGTGTCAGGTGTCGCAATGAGCTACAGCCAATGAGAGCAAGGCATGGGTTGAGGTCAGCGGAAGAAAAACAGCAGCAACAACATGGATTTAAGAAAAGTTTGGACACAAGAAATGGAGAAAAATTTTTCAGAACAGATCATAGCACAAACAGCTTGCAGAGCTAATTTCTTCCCGACGTCCATTTTCAAATAAACAACTCCTGTTTCACTTGTTGTTTTGTGTCATTCCCGTTCAACTTCTTGCGTGTGTTTTCATGACACAACATGGTTTGGGTACCGGATAGAGTCATTGGGTGACAGAGTTGTTGTCAGCTCGTGTAGTGTGTGACCCCCTGTTGTGGATCATTTACGTAGTGTCACATAGTGTGATCACCACAACGACTTTAAGACAGACAGCAAGTCATGTAGTCTGAACAGCACAACGATCTGCTGACGTTTAAAGTCGTGTAGTGTGAACTTGGCTTTATGCCGAGTTCACACTGCATGATTTTCCAACTCGTCGGATCGCCGTTGTTTTCACACTGCGTGACTATCGGAGGTAGCAGTCAGTCGCTGCTGTGTTCACATTGCACGATGGATTGGCGACAGGGGGTTTCACATTGCATGACTTCACAATAGGAAGAATCGCCGACAGCTCTGTCTGGTCCGCAAACTACGTTTCACAACAAAACACGCAAGAAGTGATAAGGAAATAACTCGAGAACCCACGTGTGTCAGTTCTCGAACAAGACTGGAATTATTAAAAAATATATATATAGCCCGCAAATTGTCTGGGAGCTATAGATCCACCCTTCAACACAAAAGCATACTAGTGCACACAAACATAAATAGAATGAGAAAAACCCTTTTGAGAATGAAAGGGTACCTCAAAAAGAGATGTTAGGCAGATTGACAGCCTCAGTCACCATTTACTTTCACTGTATGGAAAAAGCCTTCCAAACATCTCCTTTTGAGCTCCACAGAGGAAAGGAAATTTTCAGTTTTGGTTGAACTATCCCTTTAAGTCATTTACAATGACATGGTTTGAGGTCAGTGGAAGAATAGTCAATATGACAGTCAACACAATAGTCATTTTCCGTGCATTCCATAATGTCTAAAATGCCAGCTGCAGCAAGAACGAGGGCCATTGGTTGACATGCTAGTGGCCAAGTCACGTACCAAAGTGGCAAGACGCTACATAGGCTGCTCATCTAAGTCTGAGAAGATGGCCAACAGAACAGATGAACAATCCAACCTCCAATGTAGACTGATTACACCAGCCAATGGACATTGTCAGGCCCTTTTGCAAAGATTTGTGGGAAAACATCCCACAAAAATATGAAGAAGCAAAACTGTTTGCACGACTGCATCTTGGAATGAGTTCTGAAGGATCATGTGACACTAAAGACTGGAATAATGACTACTGAAAATTCAGCTGTGCAATCACAGGAATAAATTACATTTTAATAAAATAAAAAACTAATTAATTTAAACTGTAATAATACTTCACAA